AAAATATATATTAAAATATATAATATTATCTTTATTTTAATATAAAAATAAAAAATATTTATTAGTAAAATTGAAAATCTTTATATAAAGAGAAAAATTCACATTTTACTATGTTTAATTAATAAATTTTGATATTGTTGCATTATTTCTGATGGTTACTATACTTGCTATAAAAACTAATTTTTTATAGCTTTTTTACTAGAATAGCTCACAGAACTGCCATCTTTGACATGTGATTTCGCAAATATTACTATGTTAACATGCTTTGTGACCTTAGAAAATTTTGTTTCTGTCATACTAAAGAATACAATGCCAAATATTTGCGATATTTGAGTAATTCCGTGTTAAAATATTGATAAATTTCAGCAAAAAACATGATCGCCATTACTTTCCATGTTGACTATATATATTAATATAAAACAAAAAACATTTATAATTATTAATAAGTAGTAATTTTATTTGTATAAAGAAAATATTTAATAAATTAGAAATATTAATAAGTAAATATTTAATTTTGTATAAAATATAATTATTTATTTAATTCGAATTTTATAACATTATACAATATTATATTTATATAAATATTATAAAGCTTTTATAATATTTTAATTTTTAAATAAATAGAATTATTAAAAATTCTTTTCTAAATATTACTAATTAATTACGTATTTATTTTCTATGGTGCTGGCTGGAAGTTATAACTCGACAATCACGTGACTCTGTTTCAATTTACTGGTCGGGAAGTCTACAGATAGTGCTTTGGAACAGTGCTGAATCACGTGGCCTTTAACACGAGAAAATAAAAAATGTGAAAATAGATGTCAAAATCTAGCTTGAAGTACTAATAAAAGCAAATTTTACATATATCCTCAGCTCTAACCCTAACCCTAAATAATCTTTAACGTCAATTTTCTGTGATCACATAAGCGTGAATTTTTGAAGGCTACGTGATCCTGCACTGTCCCTAAGCACTGTCCATAGACTTCCCGTTTTCTGGTGGCAATATAATGTCACGTTTTTTGTAATTGACCAATAAAATAATGATATTTTAATTACGTGAAATGATGCAAACCAATTTAATTTATTACATTATTTACATTATAATAATTCAGGCTGGCATTATGATAATTTAGCATTAGCATAATGCCAGCCTGAATTATAGTGAATACCAACCAATAAAATCACGTTCATGTGAGAAATATTCATGTGGTTTGTTTCAAATTTGGACCAAGCATATATAAAAAGTGACCAATTTTAAACGCCCATCACTTTTTATCTAGGGGGGTTTTTTTTGAAAATTTGACCGGTAGTTTAATAGAGCTTATCTTAAAGAACAAAGTTACTGGTCTAATTTTTCTAAATTCATTTTTGTAAAATGTTGAAAGATTTTAAAAATACTTCATTATATTGTTGAGTTATGATTTCCGACACCATAGTTAAAAAGTTAATAGAATTCATAACATGTAATATATTGTCGATTGAAGTGTTTTTGTATATTTAGTCAATATAGTTTCATATTTTATAAATTTAACAATTAACATAAACTAAATAACTATGAATTAACACAAAGATATGCAATAAAATAATATTAATTGTTGAACTTTATTAAGTACTACGTAGTATTATTAATTTATAAAATTCACGCAATTATATAATTAGCCTTCTTTTAGAATAATCAAGAAGAGTCTATTCTATCATTCTAACAGATTAAATTTTGTATTTACTTCCTAGTTAAGAAGTTTAAGCAATTTTTAAATATTATGTTTACAATCAAATTATAATTCTGAAAATCATATTATGTATAAACTTACAAGTCTGATTTTTTCCAAATATTTGTTCTAATTTTGAACAACAAACTCATAACACTCTAAATGCAACTAATCATAGGGTAAAGCATATGAAGAAATGTATAAGTGTCTTAAATTAGACAAGCAGGACGTACTCTAATATTTCATTTATAAAAAAACAAAAAGTTGAATGTGCTAAAGTTAACATAAAAATAACTAGATTACAACAAAGAATAATTATAAAATGAATATATTTCTAACACGCACTCTCGCTAGGTGATAACCGCATTGATTAGCTTTTTTGTACCATTTCAACGCTATAAAAAGATCTTTCGAAACTCCAAAGCCGTATTGATAACATTCAGCCAATTTGAATTGAGCGAACTTATTCCTAGATTCAGCAGATCTTAAATAATACTCAAAAGCTTTTTTGTGATCTTTTTGCGTCCCAATACCATTTTGATAACAAACACCAATATAGCATCGTCCTTTACTATATCCCTTTGCTGATGATTTCAGATACCACTCAAATGCTTTTTTATGATCTTTTTGCGTCCCAATACCTTTACAATAACAAACACCAAGATTATATTGTCCGTTACTATCTCCATTATCAGCCGATTTCAAATACCACTCAAATGCTTTTTTCTCATCTTTTTGTGTTCCTATGCCTTCATTATAGCAATAACCAAGATTGCATTGTCCTCTAGCAGCTCCTCCCTCGGCTGATTTCAAATACCAATCGAATGCTTTTTTGTTATCTTTTTGCGTTCCAATACCATTTCGATAACAGAAACCAATATAGTATTGTCCGTTACTATCTCCCTTCTCTGCGGATTTCAAATACCACTCAAATGCTTTTTTGTGATCTTTCTGCGTCCCAATACCATCGCGATAACAAACACCAAGGTTATTTTGTCCTCCAACATGTCCGCCTTCTGCTGATTTCAGATACCACTCAAAAGCTTTTTTGTGATCCTTTTGCGTTCCAATACCATTTTGATAACAAACACCAATACAGCATTGCCCGTTACTATCTCCTTTCTCTGCCGCTTTCAAATACCACTCGAATGCTTTTTGTTCATCTTTGTTCGTTCCTTCTCCATTTTTGTAGCAGTTGGCAAGATTAAATTGCGCTTGAGGAAATCCCGATTCTGCCGATTTCAAATGCCATTCAAATGCTTTTTGTTCATCTTTGATTGTTCCTTCTCCATTTTTATAGCAGTTGGCAAGATTGTATTGTGCGCTAAGATTTCCAGCTCCTGCTGCTTTCAAATACCACTCAAATGCTTTTTTCTTATCTTTTTTTATCCAATCCTCATTATTGTATAATTTTCCAATTAAATATTGTGCTACAGCATCTCCTTGAAATGCCAATGGTTGATAATATTGCAAAGCTTGATCATAGTCTTTTTTGGTATTCAAACCCATATGATAAATAAAGCCTATAATTTTTCTATATAGCATATCATCTTGTAAAATTTGGAAAAATATAATTTTTTCAGAGAGTATTTGAGTTTTTTCCAAAATAATAGTGAAAAATTTTTCTAAATCTGCTTCATAATTTTCATTATATTTGAAAATATTGTCAAAGAGAATCAATAAATCATTCATCGTGGTTTTATTTTCTCTGTCAATTTGTTGCTGATTAATGATTTGATTTTCAACTGCTCTTACTTGAACCGAATAAGTCCAATCCATTTGATCATTTACGGCAGTGGCGTCATCTACATTTATTCTAAACCTTTTTTTCGACTCTTTCTGTACACTATCTTCGGTTGTCAATAACGGTTGTGGACTCTCTTCGCATTCTGGCTGTTGCTTTCTCTTATTATTTGCCATTTTTTCAATTTTTTCAATCAATAACTTTCTGTCATTAATTTCGGACATGTTTACTGTATACAGTCAAAACTGAAGATGGCCGGATTATTAGTGAAAATGTCTGGAATCTTCGCTATATCAAAGTTTTAATATACTTTTTTTATAACGAAATTACCAAAAATTCAAACTTCATTATACATGTATCAAGATTTTAATTATACGTACAGTTCGTACTTCATTTAATCAGAGTTTGTTATACCTGTATTACATGTAGTATCGGAATATCGTAACGGTAGTTCCGCTAGTACAAATTCCTTATACCGATACCGATACGTACAAAAGCTTGGAATCGGGAAATGATCAACAATGTAGATCATGACATTTAGGATACTTCAATTTACGTAATATTATTCGACCTCTTCATAAATAAACTACAATAACAAATATATTATTTCATTCAGGAAAGTAGGTTTTTTATACATATATTTTAATACCGGGTTGGATACCATTTGTCTCAATTACAGCTTGTACTCTTCTCAGCATGTTTTCAACCAAATTTCTTAAAACTTCTGGTTCAATTGTTCCATTCCTCCGTAAGTGCATCCATCAATTCTGACGTGCACGAATTCTTCTTTCCAAAACATCCCACAAATGCTTAATTGGATTTAGATCAGGGCTCTGGGCAGGCCATGGAAGTGAAGTTATTAAATTTTTCTCTTTCCATTCATTAGCTGGACGAGATCTGTGAACTGAAGCATTATTATCTTGAACAAGATGAACAGAACTAGCTGGCAAATCATTTAGAAATAGCAGAAGATTTGTTACATTATTTCTATATATATACTTTGAACCGGTTATTGTATCATTAACTTCGATTAATGGTCCAAGTACATTTTGAGCAAAACATTCCCATACCATTACTCCCTGATTATCTGATTTCATACTAGGAAGAAGGCAATCAACATCGTATTTTTCATATGGTCAGCGCCAAACCCATTGCTGGAAATCATTTCGGAATATTAGGTATCTTGATTCATCACTCCAAATTACTAATGCCCATTCACTAATCCAATCTTTTCTCTTTAAACACCACTTTACTCGATTTTGACAATTTTTCTCAGATACAAAAGGTTTTCTTAACCCAGCCCGACCATAAAATCCAGATTCATGAAGAATATGTCATACAGTTTGGAACTAACAGAAACAGTATTGAATTTTTTGGTAATCTCATCAATTGCTTGTTGTCGACCTTCTTAGCAATATTGATTAATCTTCGAATAGCTCTATCATCTAAGTTTTGTGATCTATTGCTCCAGGCAGCAACTGTAGTTTGGTCAAACCCTTTATATTTATTAATACCATTATGAACGGTAGATTTGGGTCGCCCTAGAGTATCTCTAATTGCTTTTTCAGAAAAATCACACTTCCAAACACCGACTATCTTGCCACGATCAAAATCTGTAAGTTGGCAATTTTGAAAGCTTGAGATTTCAGCTTTCTAATGAACTACGTAATGTACGTTGTAATAGACACCTAGTCATGACAAAAAAGTGTCAGGTCATGTGATAAGGAACCAAGCCAACCAATAAGAAAGCACAAAAATTCTGCGCAACCAAAGAATGTAGCAAATTTTTGATCAACCCGGCGAAAACAAATCCGACACAAGGAATGAGAAAAGACAAAAAATGCGAAAAATACAAAAAACAGATATATAAATCTAGTTTGGTGCACAATCAAAAAAATGTCGGGAAGACAACTTTATAAATAACCCTGACCTCAGCTCTAACCCTAACCCAATACTTGATATCTAATATTAATCGGATATTTTAACGGACCTATTTTAGATCACATGATCCGACACTTTTTTTGCCGTAGTGGTTACCCCCTTTCCTTGTTGCACGATAAACGTTTGAAATTACCCCTTAATTGCGTCGATCATTACCAGATTCCAGACTTTTGTTCACCGAGTGTATATCAATGCACTATTCTTTATTGAGTAATTAATTGATATTACAAAGCAAAACAGTACGTGATTCAATTAATCGGTTTATGAAAACAGGTTCTCCACATCCTGTAAAACGTACTGGACGACCAAAAATTTTATCAGGACGCGATCAATGAAGTTTAAAGCGTATTGTAAAAAAGATCGCAAAGCAATGCTCATTAAAATTACCAATCAATTAAATGCATACATTGATAATTCAATTCACTTTAATACCATTCATAACTATATGAAATTATTATCATTTGAATCTCACTATGCAAATCATAAACCTCATTTAACTACAGCACATAAAAAAAGTATTTACAATGGTGCAAAGAAAGAAAAACTGGAATGATGAATGCACCAAATCGTATGATCAGATGAGTCACAATTTTCCCTTTTCCATTCAGATGAATATACAAGAGTATGGCGAAAATCCTTTGAAAAAAACTTAAAAAGTTGTGTGGTTCCAACAGTAAAATTTGGTAATGTTTTGGTAAGGCTGTTAAAGGTCTACGTAGTTCGATTCCGTCTAAAGACTGAACTGATGCAAAGAATTGACCGGACTAGACTGATTCAGGGAAGGATTGGATTAGACCAAGACTGCAGGTCACTCCACGTGATTGTGAATCATAAACTTAGTATGAAAGTCACACTTAGCGATAGTAATAGATTCATAGTAATAAACTTTTAAACCATCGCTTTACTAGATACTGTATATGGTGTTGCAAATGAGTTAGTTCTATTGACATGGTATGAATAAAGTTGGTTTTATTTGTAAGTAGAAAAAAGTTGACATTGTTGACAATATAAAATTTCTCCTTCTTCCCACCAGTTTTTCAAGCATAAGGAAGCACGAGCTGCTTCCTCAAAGATCCGATTGCGAGAGAGATTAATAGTGATTTTGCAACTGAAAAAAACGCGTTCATATGGAACACTAGTTTCCTGCAATGCAAGGTAATCGAGAGCGATAACAGAGAGTATAAGGTACTTGATTTCCACCATTGCAATAGGTTGGCGTCCTCAGGTGACAAGCGAAGTACTTGATTATCCAGTGTAGGCTTGGTGGCTTGGGTTGAGTAAAGGAAATTTTTAAAGAAATCCATCAGTTTATCACTTTTTTGTTTCTTTCCTACCTACGGTTCTACAAATATGCTCCTCATTATCAAAAATATTCAATTTGCTACAAGTGTCAAAAATAGCGGGAAGTATTGAGGTATTATTTAGATCTTTCCAATGTTCCACAAGTTTATTTTTGATCGCTATTGCTATGAGATACTGTGAACTGATTTCTGGTTTTGCATTGACATCAAGATGCATCAGAAGGCACTTGAAAATAAGCCGCAAATCTCCCTGTGTCAAATAAGGGCGGTATTGTGGCATGATAGATGGCTCCAAGATCAGCATCATTTCCTGGTAAATGCATAGTACGTATTTTTTTCATTATATTGTTTGAATATAAAATTTGAATAAGATACCCGTTTTGCAGGTGTGCATTCCGTTGCACAAGAATATCGGTTACTTCTCGGCTCTCTTGGAGCATTGTGTATGTGGAGTTCCAACGTGTATCAACGTCCAGTTCAGGTATCAAAAACTTCTTTTCTATGGCGATGGAAATCTTCTAGAGCTCTTCAATAAGTAGAAGAGAACTATGAAGCTTGATCGTAAAGGCACATGCTTTGTAGTTTTGTTGATCAGGCTTTAGCACCTAAATTCAAAACGTGAGCCGTACAACAAAGATGATAAACACACTCAACACCATACGTATTCTGTTCTTCAAATGATTGAAGCAAGTATTGTTATTATTTTCATTATCACTTGAACCAATAAACTGATGATCAATTTCTAATTTACGAAAAATATTTCCGCAATATTCACACCTGTGTGGAGCCACCAAGTCAAGCAATAAAGTTCGCATTGTCCAATTTTTATGTCGATCGTGAGAACAAATTTACTTGGATTTGTAGCAAAATATTCTTTGACTTTTTTATATGCATATCGATATCTAAATTCATTTTTTATATTCGTGATGGCAAGGAGGTAACGTGGATAAGCAGTAAAATTGAATCATTCTCAGTTTCCATAAATGGTTGTTGGCTAATTACCACCCATTTAACGTTAACGTTAACGTTAACGTTAATGATATCGATATCGTATTTGGTTTAACGTTAATAATGCAGGGGGAATTAGAACAACTAAATGTCACAAGATTTATCAGTTATTTGTTGACGGAATTTCCAAAACATTATTACGAGGTACTGTTGCGTACTACTATTTTAATCGGTCAAAGAGAGGTTTTTACGCAACTGGGATGAGAGCTAGATTGAATTATTTACGAGTAAAGGGTTTCTTTGGGTGTTCTGAAGGCTTCCCGTGGCGACTTGTACTCAAATCGACGTTAAAAAAAAGTAGGGGGGCGAAAATAATAGTATAATAAAAAAAGGGAATAATCCAAAATCAATTTAATTAATATAACACAATAGGACTTATTGGTACGGCCTATTTAACAATTCAACGAAAAACAATTCAACAGGACTTATTGATACGGCCTGGACAAAGGAAAATCAAAATAATAATAATAATATCAAAAACACAATCGACGGCTTATTTAGAGTGTAAGAGCACCCACTATTTGTAATTGCTCACAAGATTTGAAGTTGACCAGAAATAATAAAATAATAGTGTATTTACGAGTAATATTATTATTACAGGTAAGTACTTTTTTATTTTATTTGATCAAAGCATGTCTTTCACAGACTTTTTACACTTCTTCTATTTATACAGTTTTCAGGTTATTATACTGGATACTATACCAATTACTACGCTAATTCTAAGGTTAGTATTTTCTTTGATCTAGAAAGAATTGAACAATAATCGTTTGATTGTTTCTCCATTATAGATAATCGTCTTCTTTCAGATGATCAACACTGATCCGTTAAAATATTGTGAAGGTGAAAGAAAATGGAAAATTATTCGTAATGAATTATTTCCTGTTTTGGTTCGGCACGGAATACATGTAATTAGGATCTTCGTGGGGGATCGCCAAAGTGTTTACGGTAAAATTTTCATGCAGAAATTAGTTGAGCATTACCGTTACTTATTGTGGAATTAAGGGATTTATTGTTACTACGGTAACAGTACATTCTTTAAAATTCGGAATACATATACATGTATTTGTACATGTGATTTTAACTATTATTTTGATTGGTCAGAATGCTTCATCACAGGTTTCATCAATCATCATGTGATTGAGCTATTATTTTGATTGGTTAAAGTTTACAATGTATGTAGGGATAAAAAATTAGGTGGTCATATTGCTTGGCAATTTTTCACACAAGCAGATGGTCTTTTTGTACGAGTTCCAATAGTTCTGGTTTTGAATTCATTAGAAAAGATATTATTTTGATTGGTCAACCAATCACTTATTTCTGCTTTTCTTGTGCATGATGTTGAAATACTTTCAAAAATCTCAGCATTGAAGTTTCTGTGGTATTAACTTGATTAGCATTTTAATTACATTTGGTATGTCTTCCCATGCTTTTTCATTACGTCATTTTCATCCTCGGCTTCCTGGTGGTTTAATTTCTGGGATCCAAATATAAACAGAATTTTGAACAAAGTTTACCATGTAGTTTATTAGTGGAGTCATTCCGAAAAATAACAATAGCGCTGAAGATTACTAACAGTGGGCCATGTCTCCACGATAAAATAACACCTTGGTGGGGAAGCCAAGTATTTAGAGATATGTGGTGTAGGTGACAATATGACTCATCAAGAAAAACTTCAGAACGATGTGGAATATTATTATTGCCTTCTAAGTTAGCAAACCAGTAACGAAAATACCGGCAAAAAAATGTGGTCACCGCTTGGAAAGGAATGCCCATAAAATATGTGCAGAAAGTTGCTCAGCTGTCTTATTGGTATTGATAATTTTTGTGCGTAAGAGAGTTGTGAGGTTTTCGTCAGGCTGCGTTATTTGGTCGGGTTACCACGGAGTATTTTAACTGTTTATGATGATGTACAAATCTTTTGCAACGCACATAACTATGTTTTCGAGTTAGGGAAGTGTCTTATCAAGTAATTTCAATTACTATAACATGATATAATATAAATACATTGTTTATAAATTACAAGATTAGCATAATTCTGACCCTCTCATCCTTCAATAATCATTTGATAAAAGAAACTTCCCTTAAAACACAACGACCAAGCGCGGTTTCAACTACTTTGTGTTTACGCATATATGTATCCATATATTATTTTAACAATTACTTTTTATTATTTTGCTTATAACTTTGTAAGTTATTTTATTCATTTTTTCTTTATATGTATTAGTATTTACGGGATCATATTAAATAAATCACTTGTACATGTATAACAAATATTTTTATTGATGTCGTGCCGTTGACCGTCACTTTCGGTTATTGCATTCGTTTGTGAAATGGTCGTCGTTTATCTGCTACTATATCAATAAACATTGGACTGAGTTACTCGTTATCATTATTGCCATTCAAATTTGATGAGAGTTATATAACGTTAAATTAATACCGATAACGTCTACATGCGTTTGATATATTAAAAGAAGTCTTATTTTCACACACATAAATAGAAGCTATAAAAGGCTTCTTTTATGCGTTCTCTCATTTTTTATACATACACACAAACATAACGATATCGATTTAAAAGTTCTATGACATGTCTCTTCTTTTAACACAACTGGCAGTCAAAATAACATAAATGCCTCTTCCTCTATGAATCATATAAATGCAGTATTAAAAATACAATTGTGCTATTCTCTATGTGTACGTGTATGTCATCATGGTTGACCCTTGTGAATTTTTTGCACTTATTTTCTTATATTTACTAATACTCTCGTCTAAAGTTAACATTTCTCAGGCTTGTTAGAATAAGATACATGCGATACATGCTTAGCAGATTCCTCTTTGGAAAATCATAAAATATCTCGTGCCATTCTAAGCATTTGTTGTTTTAATTGACCTAAAATAAATTTATAGGTATTCTGATATTAATTCATCGATCAATGACCCCTAAAGACATGACATTCTCTATTCCACATCCGAACTCTACACATAAGAAATAGCGTCAACCAACAATTACAATACTTCAAAACCGCTGGAAAATGAAACATAGATCATTTGTCGAAATTACATTTCTTTTTCGGAATAGTCGAGTTTATATTTTCTTGTAAAGAATCTCATGGCGTGAGATTGCAAAGAATAATAGCAATTCGTTCGCTACATACTGTCTATGAAGCAGTATAAAATTTTATTCAAATATAAAAGAAATTACTCTCGTTACTATCAATCATGACATGCTGTAACGTTAGTTGCGAACGCAACATTTCAACCAAAAGATATAACAAAAAATAAAGCTAATTCCCACAAAATATTTTCACATTACGTACTGCAGCTCATTTTTTACGCAAAAATAGTTTAACAAAAATATCACTGGATGCGTTGCACTCATTGCCAAGTAAACAAGCACTGCAGAGGATGTATTCTATATCACAAACGAATTTATATGACTAGCGGAAATAAAGATATCGGCAATCTAATAAATGAATGTGACAGAATTGCTGGTGAAGACTATAGATCTTTCGAATGGATCCCTTTTGAAGATGTACCAATGTTGAATATCTTGCAAAAGGAGGTTTTGGATCAATTTATAAAGCAACCTGGTTGGATGGACTGATAATCGAATATTGGGATCATGAAGAGAATAGATTTATGTGACGGGGAGAACGGGAAGTTGTGTTGAAATCATTAAACAATTCAAAGCAGACTATACCCGAGTTTATAAACGAGGTAAAATAAACACCTTTTAAAGTGTAAGCATATTACTTTTTTGTTTTTCAATATACGTAATTAACTATTTCAAACTCAGATTTAGACTGCTCTAAAGTGCAGTGATATTTACATTAATTATTATGGAATAACTAAAAACCCAGCTACAAATGAATACTCGATAGTGATGGCTTATGCAAAAGATGGCGATCTACGCAAACATATTAATTCCAAATACGAAGACTTGGGAACAAAAATTAAGATATTTAAGTACGTAATATTTCCTATGATCTTTATGATCTGAAAAAAATCCACAAAGGATTTGTGCATCGCGACTTTCATCCCGGAAATATATTAATATGGAATAAAGCTGCGATTTCCAATTTTGGGCTTACCAAACCAGCAGATATAGAAAATTTTGATCAGAAAATATGCGGAGTACTTCCTTACATGAGTCCAGAGTAGTGATTGGACTCACACTCGAATTGACTCGAGTCAAACTTGACTCGAGTCATAATTTTCTGACTCAGTCAAATTTGACTCGAGTTATACAGTGGCTCACACATGTAACAGAACACAAAAATTAACTTACTAGGATTTTTATTTCCATGACTATTAGTTTGAACAAAATAAAAAAGTGTTCATTTGAAACCTTGAAACCACTAATATTTTTTAAAAATAATTTAGCAACAGAATATTTTGTGAAATAAAGTGATTTAAATCAAAATTTACAATTAGTAAATTGAAAAACTTTTTTTTTATGATGGATTCAAATTTGGACCACTAATTAAAAATTTTCTACTCTATAAAATCTACCTATTTACCAATTTTCATAAAAATCAGCTTAATTTTTATAGATATTTAAGATCCTAAGACTGAATCTATGCTAGGAGCATTAATACATGAATCAATGCTCCTAGTATAGATTCGGTCTCAAATATCGGTGAATTTGGGGCCAATTTTTATGAAAACTGGCAAATATGTAGATTTCATAGAGTAGAACATTTTTAATTAATGGTTCAAATTTGAATCCGTCATAGAAAAAAAGTTCTTCAATGTGAGAAATTTACTAATTGTAAATTTTGATTTAATTCACTCTATTTCACAAAATAATTCGTTGTCAAATTATTTTTAAAAAATATTAGAGGTTTCAGGGTTTCAAATGAACACTTTTTTATTTTGTCTAAACTAATATTCATGGAAATAAAAATGCTAGAAAATTAATTTTCGTGTTCCGTTACATGTGTGAGCCACTGTATCTGGTCAAATCCAACAGATTGATTTTTTAGAACTGGATAAAGGATCACATTTTAGGTGAATCAGATGACTAATCGCACTTCTAGTTCTAGCTGCATCGCTTTTTATGATGATTGAATTTCAATTACAAATAAAACTGCATCCGAAAAAAGTCAAGATAAAAATTAAAATAAAATATAAAACAAACATAAAACATATTTAAGATAGGAATTAAAAAGTCTAAATTTCTAATATAAAGAGAAAGATAGTATTGTTACTATTCCATATAAAATGTTATACTGCGAGTTTGTAATAGGGCGCCTAAATTTATTAATACGGATTTTGTTAATTTTTCATATATAAATATGCATATAAATTATGTTTTTACACTTATCAAGATATTCTAAATTTATGCAGATAAGCTTGGTTTTAGTGTATAAATATTAAGCTCAGCTATTTTATAACACATAATAGCAGCATGCAAATCACGGTTAGTGCCTTTTCCAAAACAATAACAATTTGCCAAATTAACAAAAGCTTTTTTCTCCAAGCAATCGTTCCTTTGTGCTTTCAAATAGAGTAGAAATGCTTTATGATCATCGGGTTTTGTTCCAATTCCGTTTTTATAACAAGCAGCATATTTACTAATGCCAATAGGGTTTTGTTGTGCAGCCGATTTCTGGTACCATAAAAAAGCTTTTTGAAGATTAACTTCAGTGCCATCTCCATAGTTATAACAATCACCCAAGTAAAATTGTCCTTTAGAATGTCCCATTTTCGCGGCTTTCTTATACCATTGATATGCACGTTTCTTATCAGGTACTAAACTGCCAATACCGTAAGAATGACAATTTCCCAATTTAACTTGCGCAGTTCCATTCCCTTTAAATGCTGAGCGCCGATACCAATTTACTGATTTGTGAAAATCTTTGGCAACTCCAATTCCATAGTAATAACAATTGCCAATACTCAATTCGGCAAGCATATATCGCGAAATGGCCGCCTTTTTATTCCATTTGAAAGCAGCTTCGTAATCATTGAGTATTCCTTTTCCATTAAATAGTCGATTAGCTAACAGATGTTCACCACCAGGAAACCCATTTAGCGCCGATTTCTGTAACCATTTGGTTGCCGCTTTATAGTTCTTCTCGATTCCAATACCATGATTATAACAATATCCGATTTGATTTTGCGCTAACGGATCGTCTAAATTGGAGGCTGCAACTTCGTACCAATGAAATGTTTGTTTTCTATCAATTTCTGTCCCGATTCCGTAATCATATAAAAAGGCCAATATCGATGCATATTTAATATTTATTTGTGCTTGTGAATATACAGTATCAAATATTTCTTTGGGATTCAAGTTGTTGATAGAGAGCCAGAATTCTACCCGCTCAACTATTTTTTTATCATGTTCCCATCGATTATTTGCGTTGTTAAAGACGTCCAAAAGTTCGTCGATGGGATTTGATCGTTTAGGAGGAGAAATGAATGTAAACAACTCCGCCATTTTTTTTGTACTAAATAAGAATTCAATATTTATGTGAACTAATATTCTATATGCACTGTACTACAATATATAATGAATTAATTTGTGAGACTGAAACTCCGATAAATGCAACATGCATGAATAGCGACAGAAAAGTAGCCGAATACGTGCATGTATATAAAATATACATATGCTGAATAGTGTTATCCGTAGAACGAGACTACGAACACTGTAGCAATTAAAATATACATGTAGTTGATTATTAAAAGTAAAAATAAAAATGCTATACATTTCCAGTGTCTAAAATTCAATTTTTAGTTGCGGATTGCAAAAAATTTGGTTAATACGTATATTGTATATTGTGCTTGCAGAAATAAATACATGTATCAGTATATAGTGATGAATCAATAGAAACCTAACAAATTATAATTGTTCCCCATTTATACATGTATTTACAATATTTTAGGGGAATATAAACAGTGTACCAATCTAACTTTAAAGTTTACTTGTTAATATAATAGGTGAGACTCTAATTGTTATATTTCTCTAAAATATTGAAAAGTCTGAAAATTTTTATTCAAAGTCATTTGTTTTATAGAATTTTGATTAAAAGCTGATACCGATACGTACATGCATATGTTAAAATTTTAAAATGGTAACGAAATAAATAATACAATAAGACAATAATATTATTCCGCCTCGATATCCCTTTTTGTATTCGATCACAAGAATTTTGCTTACATGCACATGTATTACAACTGAAACAAGTACGTAGTACCCGCAAAAATACACAAATCAGAATTTTACATGCGAACACTTGCAGAATCGCATATCCGGCCGGTACTGTACATGTACATGCATTAATATCAGTAGATTTGATTTACGTAACGGTACATATAAATAGTACTCGTATCAGACGAAAGGAAAAATGACTGATATGCTATTAATATCGATATCAATATCTAACAACGCTAAAATAACCTGTTGTTAAAAATACTAGCTAGAAGTTATAAGGTTTAAAATGAATTTTCATCGTGTTGTTACGGTATAGATGAGGCTTATACCGTAATTAATTTCAGCGTCTATGTAATTGTCCAATTAATTTGGCACTTTTACATATATGGGCTGAGTGCAATAGAAACAATGTAAATTGTATTATAAATTATTATACAATGTACACTGTTTCTATTGCACTCAGCACATATGTCCAAATCAATTATTTACGGCATTTAGACCCAGCAGCAGGATCGGTTACTGATGATCTACCAGGTTAGGTGAGTTCTTTCAATAGTTCCGCATAATATCAATTATTGATTCAATCTACCTGTTGTATCAACTAATCGATCCCCTTAGGTGTCGCTAGCTTCTCTACCTTGGAAGGTAATAGACGAGTATTGAAATTCCGTGTATATTTGTCAGTACTTTCGTGATCTCTTCCTGAATCACTCCAACATACATCATAGAATGTGACGATTAATAACAATAAAACGATTGATATATTTTATTATTCATTGAAAACAATTATGATTATTACAAATAAAATCTATTTAATTCTAAACCACAAGAAAATTAGCTGTGGCTTATTAGTGATGTTACATAGAACTACCCTAGACCCTAGCCACACCAAGAAAAAGCGAGGTTAAGATCCCAATGTCGAGCCCTAGCCACAGAAAAAAAGGTGTCTAGTCATGTGATTACGATACCGACGCCATCCCCCTTAATTATAATGCATAATGTTAAATAAGTGTTTAGGTATAAGGTTATTATACAGCATTAGCAGATAGGAGCATAATGTATCGTAAATTAAGCAAGATCATTATTTTTGTTAGAACAAAAATGATTGTTTCATAAGTAAAGTTTCAAGATACGTACATGTATGCACATGCTATTGCATTACACATTGATTTTGATAAGCGGATACAAAACAAAACGTTAACTTTAACATCATTATGTTCTTCCAAATTGGAGCAATGATACAACGGCGGCGATTACTAAAATTATTGATTACCACCCACAAAAATCTTGTTATAATGCAGAAAGTAAAATATTTTCTTCTAACCTATTTTTGACTGAATGATAAATTGTTACATGATATTTTTATGCATTTTGTTTGCATTCCTAGAATTAATTATCCGAGTCATCCGAATCAATTGGAAATGATCGGATGGTGAGTTTTGTTTTGTATTTATTTTGATGCCGGAGTAATCACTAATCTTGATGCTAGTTGTGAAGATAATATTTACAATAAACTATTAACGTTAAATGAAGTTAACTGAGTCAGAGTCGGCGTAGATAATACACGAATCGTAGTCGGAGTTGGAATCAGACTCGTTGAAAGTATACGAATCGCAGTCGGAATCGTCCAGCCTGCTGCTTCTGATGATTCAATGCGAAAAATATTCAGAATGAAATGTTCAACAAGCGAAAAGACAATATCTGAAAATTTACAAGTTAGCCTTGATCTTTGTAGTAACTCAGCATTAGAAGATTTTACCTACTATAATTCGAACCCAAGAATACTAGATGAAGGATATCCAAAGAAATGTGACAAAGAAAAAGAAAAATACTTTGAATGAACACAAAAATCCAACAAGATTGCAAGAACGAATTACAACAAGCTTTTGAAGCACCAGTTAGCTATTTTGATTCTCAAGAAATATATTCGAGGTTTGACTGGCAGTTTACAAGACAATAACAATTAAGAAAGTCATTGCTTAAAAAATACTACAATGGAAGGTATAAATCATTCATTCTTGGATTATAATATAATTATAATATGATTATATGCTAATATTGTGTATTTATTTAACAGAATATTGTTATATTATGTGTAAAAAACAAGTTCCACAATATCTGTCCAGTCTATTAACGTAAAAAGAATTGACTCAATCAAGCATATTCTTTGACATTAAGCCACCAAATGCCCAATTATCATATGCTGTTGGTAAATCGAGTGTCAAAAATCTGATTCTCCCAAGTAATATTCTATGCGGAAAATGTTATCAGAGTATATTTAATATTTGGTTATATTTTTGGAAAAAATTCATCAACGATTGATTGGGTAAAAAAGATATTAATGGGTGGGTTAATCGAGTAAATTGAAAGAAAATTTCAGTAAAACATGCAAGCGTTTATCACTAATAACAGTGATAGCAGTAATAGTGAAGGGAGTAATATTAGTACTCAAGATACATGTAGATTTAAATATCTTGTATAGTACATGCATATCTATGCTTTATGTCGATTAGTTCAATATTTATTTAGTACATGTATTAGTTACAAAGATAATTCATTATTTACAACATTCGATGATACATTAACCTCGCATTCTCTTTATAAGATTTATAAATTTCACAAATCCAGTTGGCATACCTCTATACATACAGTCACACACTTTCTAAAATTATTATGAAGCATATAATAATAACATTTTTTGGTCTCAATGGTGATTATAAAACTTGAATTCAATACAATTTATAATAAATCAAACATATTCATTATAACAAGTGTGACTTGTATGTAGTGATTGGGCTAAATTATTTAGTCCAAGCCCAAATTATTTTATTTTTAAATTTTATTATAAATTTTTCAATTTTTTTATAGATTCTAGTAGTCCAAAATTAGTTTAACTTGTTTAATAATTTAGCCTAATTTAACCCTTTAATTTAGCCTTTTAAGTCCTAAATTCCTAAATTGTCCTAAACTATTTAGTCCGAATCACTACTTGTATGTAAAAATTAATAAAAGCAATTTCTAGCACTCAAATATAGAATCATATCTTGTATAAGGAGATATACATTTGAGATTAAACTTCATTCTAACGAAAATTTAAAGATTTTCTTTCTGCGCTCTGAACTCTTATATGTCAGCTTTGTCTAATAGAAAATATAGCTTTATCTTCTAAATAAAATTTTATATTTACAAATTATAGATATTTTCTTAAAATTCTTAATTGAAAATTTCTATTCATTATTTAAGAAATAATGTAATAGTTTTTAACTGAATAAGATACACCTGCCATTTCCGTGCACTTAATTTTTTATTATAAGTTCTAGTTTAGGCCATTAAGTAAATATGTTCAGAATAGAATTTTAGGTGTATTTGTATTTTTTCGATAATAATTTATAATATAAATAAATCTGAGAGTATTATTTTTTAATATTTTACTTAAACATACTATTAAAAATATTAACATAAAATTGTTATTATTAATCATGCACTAATTAAATAAAAAAACCTAAAAATAAAAAGAACAAATTTAATTAATTATAATGAAAAGATTATAAATAAATAGAAATAGAACAGCATCACTAAATTTATAAATTTTATACCTATTTTATTTTTTAGATAATTTCTTTTTTTATATATAAGAAATAATACATATATATAATTGTCAAAATTAAAATTATCTATATTATTTGTATGTGTTAACTCTATGCACAACATGCATATGACAGAAAAGGAGAACCATTTATCATTACATATTACGTATTTCGTATGTGTAAAGGGTCATTTGTGTGCAGAACGATTTCCGAAATGAAACGCACAAAAGTCTTTTATTAATAACGATATAGAAAGAGCTTCTGTTTGTATGTGCAACCAGAATAAAAATTTGATCATATCCAAGAAATCCAATATTGAACTTCCGATTCTTGACAGGCAACATTAAAGTCTTGTTAAATTTCTAAACTTAATGAATTTTCATTTATACTGTAATTAGTATATTAATTGTTAACGTTAAGCGAATTTTAACAAGAATTATGCAGGTTGGTTTCCTCTCTTGTCAGGACTTTTACTAATAGATTGATTAGCAGCACTCCATTCAAATGGGTTCTAAGTACGAAAATTCATATATCAATCTTTGTTCGCACTAATGATACCTGACGAAACTATTTTCATGATGACGAAACATTTCGTCACGTCATTCGTCAGACGAAACCCTGACGATTGACGAAACCTGTGACGAGTGACGAAACTAGTGACGATTGACGAAACAAGTGACGAAACCTTTTAACCAATCA